AACGTTTTGAAAATGTTCATAATAATTTGTGATAAAAATAAAACTGGAAATGTAACGTTCTTATTCTTGATTTTCGTTGTATTTAATCATAGACCTTTACATTTCTTCTATATGTTGTCAAACACGTTGTACATATATTCATTTTTTCATCAAATGGTGCTGTAATTATGATAATTCTTATTACAACTACTTATAAAATTGTCCATTAACACAATTAATTGTATCATTTAATAGTTAATACAGTCTTTCAGCTTTATTTCCTCGTAATTGGAAGTTTAAAAACTTATATCTTTTGAAGGAATAGTGAAAAAAATGTTTTCACCTAAAATTACTTGTTTTCTGACAAATATTACGGATATCATAGATTTGACGTAGATCCCTACTTGCAATTGCAAAGATAACCTCTATTTTACTCTCTACGGGAGATGAATGGACGATCAATAGAAATTTAAAAGGTTCTGTATAGTTTGAGATCAGAATGATGAAAATTGATTACATAATTGTCAATACATTAAGCTGTTAAGAATTACTTATGCCATTTGTATAACATTTTTGACGTATAAAAATGTGTCAAATTGCTTAGCTTATATAATAAATGTATATTAATTGTTTTACTTCTGCTGAATATAATACAGAAATAATATTCTTACAATACTGGTGTATAGTTATTTGATATTTATTAAATAAGATTTTAGCAATATACAAAGTCATAATAAAGAATAATTATATACAAAATAAAATAAATTACAGAAGTGTTATTATTACCTTTTTATGTTAATCCAGATTTATTTTAAAATTTTACTTAATGTTTGTAATTTAAAATTAATTATTTTTCCATAAGACAACATTACTGATATATTATTTTTTTCTGAATATTAAAATATAATTAAATTTCAGGAGATAGTTGCTGCTTCTCATTTAGTTTGGGAGCAATAAAAAAGTTAATAGAGAAAACAGTACCTAACATTTATGTATATTCCATTCGTCTAGGATACAATGAAGTGGAGGTGAGTTTTTTTTTTCTAATATTGGGTACTACACTAATGCCTTATTTACATTATATAGGATTTTTCTAAGCTATAGACCGAAATTCAGGGGGTTAGACTACCTTGGCTTGTCAGGAAAGTACTGCTTCTTTGAGAGTTTATTTTGAAGTAACAAAATCCCTTTTTTGAAAAAAATTTTCTGTTAATGGTAGAGGCATATATAAATAATATAGACATTTTTTTTCAGTTTCCCTCTAAAAAAAAATGTTGAAGTCGAGAGCATGCTACGAAATGTATCTTTGGATAGTGTACTTTATTTATGATGAATCGATTCCTGAATCCGTATTTGCCTGATGGAATATTCGGTCTATCGGCTGATATAAAACGTTTTGGTTTAATTGAAAAGTGACAAAATGACAGCATTTCAAGCAAAAAATTCACTTTTTACGCAGAAATATAGTCATTAGTTGCAATTTAAGTAAAAATTAAAATATCGAAAAAATCGTATGTTTGCCTATATAGAATTTATTTAAAAATATGCATGCAAAAGCTTATAAAAATCGGTTGAGTTTTACTCAAGTTACAGCGTATACTCTTTCGAAAAACATGGTTTCGAGAAAAACATATTTGAAGTGTCCGGCATGAATGTGTAAGCCCACGCACCACTTTCATTTTCAACGAATTAGGATAATTTTTAATTTCAACTTCAGATAAATTGTATCCTGTTTTTAAGATAATGAAGTATCAATTTATGAAAAAACGGTCGAGGTAATTTAACCCCTTACTTGGTCAGTATAACTAAAAGGAGCAGAAAGGTGAATATTGCTATACATATAAATCAATCATGTTTGAAGTATCAAATTTTTTAGGTTGTAAATTAATAATTTCATATATGTCTATACTATCGTGGAATGAATTATACCTTGGGATGAGTTTTCTGTGAAATTTACATTAATAGTATAATTTTAAGTGACATTCTCGAGTGATCGTAAGTTTTGTCTAATGATGTTTTGTATTTGGTGATTTGACTGTGTCGCAGTCGACAATTTGAACATTTGCTACACGTATGTTGATATTTTATATCAGTTATTCTGCTATTTTTCGTCCTTTGAATTGCCTCAAGGTCGTTTCAAAGACATATGCTGAACTTATCTTTTTCTGTACTTTCATAATATCAAAACAAAAATATAGCATTTCATTTGAAAAAAACACGAGATGAGCTTGGTTTATGGCCTTGTATGAGCTTGGTGGAATTTAATTTGTATTATATTTCCCGCGTTATAGGGGGCCCTACTGTACAGTACTCATCGGGTTAATCAGGGCCGCATTTATACTTTTGGAGGCTTACAAGTCTTATATAAATTTAGCATTTCCGTTTTGAGCAGCCTCTTGCTTTTATCTTATGAATTTAATATTTAAAAATTACTCAAGTACTTTCTTTTGCAACTATAACTAGACTGTTTTTTATATTGTTGTTTGTTAGGAGTAAGGTTTTAAAATGTGGTCCCATATAGAGTGGTGCCCCAGTTTGCGCCTAATGCACCCTATGGTAAACGCGTGTAACACCATTCGAAATTGCCAAGTTACACTATATTATAATTCAATGAAAATGTAATCATTATTATTTCATATTATATTGGTCATTTGTTGATATTGTCCGGTTCAACAACATTTTAAGAGGAAAAAAAATGGAGGCCAGCGGTTAAGAATCGTCTATTGAGGAGAATGAATTATTTTATGATGAAAACAAACGTTTTGGTACTTTTTTTAATTATATGTTGGTGCGGTTATCCTGATGAAAATAAATTCAAGCATGACCTCATTTAAACTCCACTACGAATTTCTCTGAGCTTGATTAGAAAGTTAAAAATGTCTACGGTAACGCTTTTAATGAAAAAATAATCTGAATAAGGTCATGTTTGAACACATTTGTTTTCGGAAAAACATCACGTACCCATTAGTAATATTCTGGTGAGCACATAATGAAAAAGAAGAAAGCTTTTATTTTCGCTACAAGGTGTCTCATTTCTTACGCAGACCATCTGAGTGTGAAGGCTCGCTTCGACAAGGCAGCGCAAATAAGTCTGCTTCTGAAAGGATGTTCAAAACTCTGCAAGTTTGTGGTACTCACTGAAACTGAGTAGTCGCATTTAACAAACGTTGTAATAGTGATAAATCACGACTGCTGTTACATAAAATGTCATTTAAAGGAAAAAAAAAGTATAGTCACTGTAGGATTTCAACTAATGAATCTTTATTGTCAGCTTCGCTACCGCAATTTTGATATTGTTAAGAAATTAAGTATATGTTGATTATATCGAAAATTTAAGGCTACATTTCTTTATAAATAATGCGCATTGGCAAAAACGCTCTGATAAGAATTTTTCTCATTTTCGTTCTAGATTCGGCAGGGAAAGTTCAGTTAAATTCGAAGCTCTCCTTGTGAGAAGAAAGTGTTTAGTCAACATGTGTGCGCAAGTCAATTGTTTAACCCTTTGTAATCCGATTTTTCTTCGTTCATAGGAAGAAAAATTGCAGTTGATTATAATTTTACATTTTAATGGGAGAAGCAAGAATTAATTATTATTATTATATTAT